ATAGATAGATAGATAGATAGATAGATAGATAGATAGATAGATAGATAATCCTTTGGGCACCATTGACCGATTCTGTCGAGAAAGGTTTTTCCACGGACTGGAGGGGGCTTCGCTTGTTTGCAAAGGCCCAGTTGCTGGCATGCTGCAGACCAGGGGTGGGGCAGCCCTGATCTACAGTATCTGTGTTGCAGTCAGTATCAGAAGACCAAGATATCTCCTACCCATGAATTCTAGCTTCTCTAACTGAATGCACATACCTGCACACTTGCGCTTTTGAAATGCTAATTGTCAGGATTCCTGTGATTGCCCTAATTAAATCACCAGATTCAAAAGAATCCAGAAGATTTATTAGGAGCAGCACGTCCGGCATTAACCTGTATGAAGTCAACTCTGACACATGTAATTTACGGTCACCTGTGACTCTGTTTCCCCCCTCCCCCCTGGACGTGTCATCAATCATATTCTCCAACAAAGCACATTCAGGTCTGGGTGTCATCAATCACGTTCTTCAATGAAGGATTTTCATGGGCAGAAGGTCTGGTGCCTAGGCTACGATCTTTTTAAAATAAGCATGGAATGCACTTCTGGTTTTAGTTGCCGATCTGCTCCTTCAGGTTCCCTTCCCTTCTCTCTCCTCCCCGCCCCCCACCCCCCCCTCACTTAATGGCAACTCAGAAACAAGCATAGGAATATTTTACGAGTTGACACTGATTTCATTACCCACTCGTCTCCACACTGATGCATCTTGCTGGCCTCCACCAAGGGATTGTTAAAGTGTCTTGTTGTTGACACCCTTCTGCTGTTTTCTCCACAGGTTTGCAACCCATCTACTGGAGCAGAGACGATGTGGGTCAATGGCTAAAGTGGGCGGAGAAGGAGTTCTCCCTGAGAACCATTGACAGCAATACCTTTGAGATGAATGGGAAAGCTCTCTTGCTACTAACCAAAGAGGACTTCCGATACAGATCTCCACATTCTGGTAAGTAATTTTAAGAACTAATTAAAGAAGGAGATCTCTTACTGCATTAGTGAGCAGCAAATACAAATCTGTCCGAGATTAGATGTGGGGGAAAATCAACATCTGCAGTATTTTTAATCAAACTTTATTGCATTCTTATTTTTGTTACACATTTTTACTTGCTGCAGAAATGGGTTATGTTACCCAATTTAGTTTAGATGTGTGTGGGGGGGGGACCCTAACAGCAAACAAATTCCATTTAATATTAATCCCATCTTGATCATTATTTTAAAAATACAAGACAATGGGCATTTGATTCATTCTCATCATACAAACTTTATTTCCATTTTCCAGAGTATTTATTAGCTATCTCATTCATTTTTGTCATCTGCAAACCTCCCCCAACTCATCCAAGTCAGTAATAAAAAAAAAATATTGTGGGAGAGAGGGTACAAAATGAATATTGTAGCATGCCACAGATTTGAAAAGGAATATCTGGAGATTAGTTTTTGCGTACAATTTTGCAGCTAATCGTGCATCCATTTTATTATCCAGTTAACTAGATAGCAAATTAGAATGTCACCGAATATTTTGTGAATGTTTAGGATACATTATGATTAGAGCATTCTTACAACCTTTTCATACAAATTAGCCAATTTTTAAAAAATGAGATAAAGCTAGTCTGGAGGATTAATTCTTGACTAATTCTTTGGACTTCTGGTAATTGCTATATTGTTGCAAGGATAATTGCTGGTATGGTGTGAAAAGTGCATGTATTGAAAATATTCATACCTTAATGCAAGATATTCAGAGCAGCAAATAATGTTATTGAAAAGAGCATATAGCAAACATGAAAAATGTTTTAAAGAGTAATAATAGACAAGTTGTAGCATTAAAAAGACCTGCAACCACACAAAATGCTTTGGCTTGTTATCTGAACCTCTGAAAGTCAGTCTATGAGGCTAGCAGAGAAGGCTATTTTCTGAAGCAGAGAGTCTTCAAACTTGACCGCTTTAAGATTTGTGGACTTCAACTCCCAGAATTCTTCCTCTGGTCACGTTAGCTCAGGAATTCTGGGAGTTGAAGTCCACAAAGCTGTCAAGTTTGAAGACCCTTGTTCTAAAGGCCGGGATACTGAGCAAATACAGAGTAGATGGACATGATCATGTAAGAGAAGCGATCCGGCTCCTAGTTTGCTACATTTCCAAAATTAAGTCAGAATCTACCTTCATGTGACTTCAGTTTCTTATTCTGAAATGAGAAAAGAAAGTTCTGGACCTTTTCCTGTGTGGTAGCCTTTTAGCGGCCCATGGGGGCTTTTTTTTAAAAAAAAAATCAGTCGATTTTCCTCAAGGCCCCATTCCCTCCATCTTTCCTTAAAAAACTGATTTGATAGATCTCACCGTCCATCAGATGTGAGGTAATCCTTAACTTACAACTTTTCATTTAGTGTTCGTTCAAAGTTACAACAGCACTGGAAAAAGGGACTTATGACCGTTTTTCAGACTTAAGACCATTGCAGTATCTCCATGCTCATGTGATCACAATTTGGATACTTGGCAACTGACTCATATTTATGACAGATGCAGTGTCCTGAAATCACCTTTTGCCCACCTTCTGATGAGCAAAGTAAACAGGGAAGACAGATTCACTTAACACAGTATTACTAACTTAGCAACTGCAGAGCAATTCAGCTAACAACTGTGGCCAAAAAAAAAAAAAAAAGATTACAAAATGGGACAAAAACTCACTTAACTGTCTCATTTAGCAACAGAATTTTTGGGCTCCATTGTTCTGCAACTCAAGCCCGAAGGAAAAAGTTTTGTGCTTTGAAAGGAAGGAGCTATAGACTTTTATGTTTTATTATCCTGGGAGCTGGGCAGTATCAGAATAAATGCAGATAAATATGTGAATTAAATATAACCTTCCTTTCTATCTTTAGGGAACTCAAAGTCTTTAAAAATTCATTTTCCTGAGTTGGCGTTCCTTCTTTTTTTTTTCCCAAAAGCTTTTATTTATTTATTTTTTACACATCTCTTCACGTGAACAACTTCAGATTCCAGATTACAATATTTATACATAGTCATAGTTACACTTTCAACATTTTAAATTAATATCACTTCAAATTATTATCCATTCGACTAATCTTTAGATAAATTCCCCTTTCATATTTCAATCCATTAATTCAATATCAAAATCATTTCATCCTCACATACATTTTCAATTCTTTATCCCCTATTATTTCTATTTTCAGCTTACCACCTATTTTATGTTACCTTATGTATTGTTAACATCTATAACTTTCTCAAGACCAACATATAATTAGACAGACAATGAAAGGAAAAATGAGTAAAAGTAAAGTAAGATTAATACATTTAGGATCCACATGGTATATACCCCGCCATCTACAATATATCTACTCCAGAGATATTGGTATAATCATTTCATATTTTTTTCTTTGTTTCCAAAATTTACCTATGTAATTTTAATGAATCATTATCTTCTTCTTCTTCCAGGTGATGTATTATATGAGCTGCTTCAGCACATCTTGAAGCAAAGAAATTCTCATATGTTGTTTTCTCCCTTCTTCCACCCTGGGAATTCTGTTCATGCTCCTCCAGATGTTATGCTGCATCAGAACCACGATGAAGGTAACGGCAAGGATCCCTTTGTTTATGAGGAGCAAAATTACCTAAACAGTTCAGCAATGCTGTCGAAAGAAAGAGGACAATGGGGTTGGAGGGAAGCATACTGATCAAGGAGAATGTTTATGTTTGCAACTCAGGGTTGAAATGAAGGGTCCTTGGTGCTCTCTGGGCTTGGCTGTTTTCTTGCAGGTGTTTCATTACACAGCTAGGTAACATCATCAGTGTGAAGCATGGGAATGCGTTTGGCTTCCGATTTAGATCACTCCTATAACCCTGATTTTGAATCCTAAGTATGTCTGTAAAGTTAGAACCATATTTTTTTTCAAACCTGGCAACTTTAAGATGTGCAGACTTCAAGTCCCAGAATTTCCCAGGCAGTATGCTGGCTGGGGAATTCTGGGAATTGAAGTCTGCACATCTTAAAATTGCCAGGTTTGAAAAACATAGTGATTAATGATTTCCAGCTGCTTGTGGACATAGGAAGGGGATAGGTGAAGGGGCTGTTGATTCCTTAAGTTTTTGGTTAACGTTTAGGGGGAAAAATAATAAAAATCTATGAGAGTTCAGTCAGGGTTTGTGTCCAGGACAATTGGCATGCATAACTCAAATATAAAAGGGTAGAGTTTTAATTGTGTGGTTTGCAGACACAATCGGTTGTTTTTTTTTATGTTCCCATTCACTGCATCCAGGATACCAAAATCAGTCCCCTTTCGTCTTACATCACCCTCCCTCCAGGGTAATATTGGATCAACAAACACAGGTACCCATGAAGTTTTTAGAGAATCATAGTTTGGTAATGTTGGGAAATTCCCAGCCAAGCAGAAAAGAGGGGTCAAATGGGGAACTAGACTTGAGTCCTTTTGTAGCTGCAAAAGACCCCATAGGACTGATCCCTGCCTAAATTCCTTGAATCTTTACCTGTTCCCAGGGGAAGCAAAACAGCCTGGGGAGATTTTTATACTATAGGTAGAACATAATAAATTTACTGACTCTGCTTCTTCATGAGTTGATCTGGATGCATGTGCCTGACAGAATGGACATTTCTGCTCAATTGGCAAGGAGTTAGGTAGCTAAGAAGGCTCTCGTCCTTTTTCAGACAACATTGCTGATGGGGAGTTTAATCCCAAATAACCCGGGGGTTTAATCCTTGCAGTGGACAGGTAGCTAGAAAGGAGTGGGGACTTCAGGAGCACAACTGTAGCTTCTATCTTGACTTGGTTGGCTCCTATGATGGATGTCTGTTGGCCAAATGCCTTTGAAAGATGAGCATACTCCGATGAAGTTTGTGGCCCAGAAATACTGCTTTGTTGTAAACCAGAGCTGTTTTTCACCCTTCCAATCATCTGAAGACATCATGCCCTGTACTTCACTAGCTGCCGCCTTCTCCAACGCCTTCTCCAACGCTCCAAAATCTCTTTGATCTTTTTTTTTTTTCCATTTACGGCTCCTACAATTAAAGCTGTACGTTTGCGTTTTTTAAGGGCCTCCTCTGGAAGAAATGAAAAGCTGAGGAAAAGCGTTTCATTGGTATTACGGGTTTTACTTGCAGCCGCAGATTCTTCTAGTCAGTGAGAAGAATTGTAGAAGGAAAGTTGGGTCAGTCTATGGTAGCCCAAATTTGGGGGGTGGCTGGTAGCACACCCCCACCCCCCACCCACCCCCCAAAATAACCCTCACACATTGCTAAAAGGCAAAGGCTGGTGTGTCAGTTGCACCTTCTTTCATCCTGCATCGTTTTAGCACTGTGCAGCTGCCCCTCACAAAAGCTTGTGCCTTTTAATACGGGTTGGAGAAAATGTGATCAAGCCTGTTCTAATAGTGGACTGAGAGAGAAACCCTTACTACCAAAGGTTCACAGGTAGATAATCCCATCCCTCCCTAATACTTTTGACTTGCATCTCTGGTGTTCGGTGGAGGAACTGGAACAGCTAAATATAGCTGTGTTTCCCCTTTGGGGAAATTTTTTTCCTTTGGACTTGCTTTTATTTGAGGTTCTGTCTGTACCCCACGTTCGCTCCATCCAGCTCACAATGGACACAGGCAGGCAAGAGAAGAGCTCAGGCACATCCAAAGGTTTGGCTTTAAGTCTTAAGGTCAGCTGCGCCAATCACTCTGAAATGCGATATCCGCTTGCCAACAACTTTTAAGTTGAACATCCCTCCTAAACTACAGGGTGGCTTAGAGTCTGTAGCTGGAAGGCGAATGTCCTCCACAAACAGAGTCCTGGAAATTGAAATTTAAGAAGGCAACTCCCCCAGCCACGGAAGAGGCTGATAGTTGCACATCTGTGTGATTTCCTGATCTGGACTCCTCTGTTTCCAGTCAGTTATTTTCGAAAGCGCCAGAAGGGAAGGCAAGAAACAATCTGGAAGGAACGAAGGAGAAATTTCCTGACAGTAAGAACAATTAACCAGTGGAAGAGCTTTGCCTTCAGAAGTTGTGGATGCTCCATCACTGGAGGTTTTTAAGAAGAGACTGGACAGCCATCTGTCTTGAAATGGTATAAGGTCTCCTGCCTTGTGCAGCAGGGGCTGGACTAGAAGACCTCCAAGGTCTCTTCCAGCTTTATTCTGGTTGAACCCACAGTTCAATCCTTGTGTCTTCTGGGACACAGAGCTGGGTTATCCTGCTCTTTTGGTTATCCTGGCTGTGGTGAATGGGCATGTAAAAAAAAGAGAGAGAGAGAGAGATGGAGTCAGCTGTTTTATATTTGAGTTATGCCTAGCAGTGCCTTGTCTGGACTCTCAAGGATTTTTATTCTTTTGTTCCCCTAAAAGTTAACTCCAAAATCAAGAACTGAGTCCTTCTATAGTCTTCATAAAACACACACACACACACACACACACACACACACACACACACACACACAAGCTTCTAGGAGTTATGAAGGTTCTAACAAGGTGTTTTTCAAATTTGGTCAGCGTTTAAAGATGTGTGGACTTCAACTCCCAGAATTCCCCAGCCAGCATACTGGTTGGGGAATTCTGGGAGTTGAAGTCCAGAGGGCTAAAAATTTGCCAGGGTTGGGATCTGATTCCGTGCGACGTCAGAACCCAGAAGCCTGTTGTTCAGTAGCCTTGATTTGCTCTGTTCCCCCCACAAACAGCCTCAACCCGGTGCCACACACGGGCCTAAAATGTCTCCCTTGTCATTGGCTCTCTCCTTTCCAAACATTCTTTGGGTCGCCGCAGACAGGGGCATGGCTTGGCACCCGAGTTTTCACTTCCTTGTGCCCGGTTTGGGTAAGGTTGACCTAAATAGCGAAACAAAGAGAGACCTTTCTTGTTTATGACTTTGGCTGTGTGAATCATAAAATCCACACCAGGACCGTTTCCTCTCCAGCTTCAGCCAGGAAATGGGTGGGTGCTGCCTTTGGACACGAGGAGCGTCTGAGGGGGCTGGAGTCAGGCAAAGGTCAGTGCGAGGCACTGGAAGAATCCGAGCCGGATGTGACCCCTGGGGGTCTTCAGCAAAGGCCCTCTTGGGATTGCAGCAGGGGAGGGGTCTGAAATGTGACTTGGGGGCTTTGTAAAATCTTCCAAACACTCCCAGAACAACCAGTGGGGAAAATGGGAAAGCAAAAATGCTCCCTGTTGAAGAGGCAGGCTTAGGGAGTCACACAAACGGTCTGGAACTAATTACGGTCCCACTAAATTCAAAGATTTACATGGGTGTATAAAGCCCTGTCTTGGCTTTGCAAAAGAGTGCAATCTTTCCCAGTCACACACCCCTGGCAACAGCAACAGATAGTGAGTTTTCCCCATTTTTCCACATCTCACAATGTGGGGCAAATAATATATGAGCTGTTTTATAGATATATATATTTTCAATTGATTCTTACTGAATAAATCATTACCAGATAAAAGCAATGGAAAAAGGAAATAAACTCAAAGGAAAGTGGTAAGAAGAAGTGAAAGGCAAAAAGAGAAAAGAAAGGCAAAATATGAAGAAATTACTTCCAACCTTCTTTGCAGCAATAAATGCATTTCAATTTTATCATCTCTCTCTCTAAGATTACATTATGACTTCTTTCCTTTCCATAATCTACCCTTGTAATCAGTAAACCTATAAATCACGTATATATTTTTCAACTATCAGCAAAAAAAAAAGGCCACAAAGGATTTCCAGTCACTAACAAATGTAGTTGTTGTGTTTTCTCTAATTAAACAAGTCAGTTCTGCAAATTCTATCATCTTCATCAATCACCCCTCCATTGTGGGTATTTCAGAGTCTTTCCATTTTTGTGCAATATTAATTTCATTCCCATTATTTCATTGGGAATGGTAGGGGCCACAAAAAGCATTTAGGAAAGGGTTTGCTGAAAGCGGTGGATGAAAATGAGATCAGTTCTCATGCTAATATGGTTTACACCTTCTTCAACCTGTTTCCCTACTTGTATTTGGATAATAGTTCTCAAGACTTCCCATGAGTCTTGTTGATTTACAGTCAGGACTTTCCAGATTGAAAAGAGTGTATCTGTAGCTCAGGGTAGAATTGTGAACTTGGTACTAACTTGGTTCCTGCAGTTGTTTCCTTACCCAACTTGGTAACAGCATCAGCCTGAGTGAGTCTGGGGCTTTGCTGCCTGTTTATACTTGGTAGTTTGCCTGCCTACCATATTTAGTGAAGGTGTATTGACTTCCTTCGTGGTTCCTTGATTAGCGTGTTACTTTTTGCCTGATTTTTTTTGTCTGGTATTAATGTTCTAGTCTCTCTCCCCCCCCGCCCCAAAGTTTTTTTTAATTGTCTCTTTTGACTGGTATGTAAATATAGTTTATCTCTAGGGGTTTGTTGATAGCTGATTTGTCTGAAAGAGCAGCTTCTGGGAATTGCCTAACATTTTTGGACTTGGCTTGATGTAAGATGCTAATAGTTTCCCAGGTGAAAGTTTGGCTTAGCCTGTCCATATGTTGTAAGATGGAGTGCTCACCCTATCTTCTGAGAGCTAGTTGGTGGATGAACAAACCCTATACCCTAATTATTTTTATGCAACAAGTATATTTTTGCCTAATTTTGACAGTGTTTCCTGATAATTTGTGTGTGTGTGTGTGTTGTATATTATATAGGCTTCATTCAGACTTTCATATGCAGGCTGGCAGCAGGCAATCATTCTGTCTCAGACTTTTCCCAACATTTTCCCACACCAGAGACCAAACGCGGGGTAGCTATTATTGAAGTAAAATTTTCTTTTTTTTAAATTTAATTATTTCATTTCAGTCCTACAGGCTGCACTGCTGGCTGTAAGGGTTGGATATAGTTTTATTGGGCCATTTGATGGCACCTGATTTTATTTTTTAATTTCTTATCTTTTTTCCCCCCCTTTGTTTCACAGACAACTTTATCTCAAGAGCTGCAAGACAGTCATCAGACTCGATGCATCACAATCCACCTACCATTGAACTCTTACACCGCTCCAGATCACCCCTCAGCACCAATCACAGGCCTTCCCCAGAGTCTGAGCAGCGGTCCTTGAAATCCCCCCTGGAGAACACTATTCGTCGCCTCTCGCCAGCTGACCGGCTCTTGGGCACGCGACAACACCAGGAGAACAACCACCAGGAGTCTTACCCTCTCTCGGTGTCTCCGGCTGAGAGCAACCATTGCCCAACCCCGTCGGAAGTAGCTCAGAAGCCTTCCAGTCCTCGCCAGGACAATACTAGGGTCATCCAGTTGATGCCCAGTCCGATAATGCACCCCTTAATACTGAATCCTCGGCACTCCGTTGACTTCAAAGCTTCGAGGTTGTCTGAAGATGGGCTGCACAGGGAGGTGAAGCCCATCAACTTGTCCCACCGTGAAGAGCTAGCATTCATGAACCACATCATGGTATCCGTCTCTCCCCCTGAAGAGCACGCAATGCCAATTGGGAGAATCGCAGGTCGGTACAATATAGTTTATTTTATTTTATTTATTTACGGAATTTATATTGCCGCCTATTCAGACATGGCGACTCAGGGCGGCTTTGTTGTTGTTAGTTGTAAAGTCATGTCTGACCCATCATGACCTCATGGACAACGTTCCTGCAGACCTTCCTGTTCTCTACCATCTTCTGGAGTCCATTTAAGCTCACGGCGACTGCTTCAGGGACTCCATCCAGCCACCTCATTCTCCGCCGTCCCCTTCTTCTTCTATTGCCCTCAATCGTTGCCAGCATTAGGCTCTTCTCCAGGGAGTCCTTCCTTCTCATGAGGTGGCCAAAGTCTTTGAGTTTCATCTTCAGGATCTGGCCTTCTAAAGAGCAGTCAGGGTTGATCTCTTCTAGGACTGACCGGTTGAATCGCCTTGCAGTTCAAAGGACTTGCAGGAATCTCCTGCAGCACCATGGTTCAAAGGTCTCCATTCTTTGGTGCTCAGCTTTCCTTATGGTCCAACTTTCAGCCATACATTGCAACTGGGAAAACCATAGCCTTGACTCTACGCACTTTTGTTGGCAGGGGGATTTCTCTGCTTTTTAGGATGCTGTCTAGATTTGCCATAGATTTCCTCCCCAGGAAAGGCAGCTTTGGGAATATAAAGCCTCCTATAAAAACTATAAAACTAATAAGAGTCATATAATAAATTAATATACTAAAATCCCTGCACACCCTGGCAACAGCACCTCACACGAGCAATTTGATGGGCTCCATCTCGCTCTGGGTTCCCCAGGCCCACTGGCAGAACCAGGCCTTCAGAGCCTTCTGGAAGAGTATCAGGAGAGGGGGCCATTCTGATCTCTGGAGGAATGATGTTCCAGAGAGAGGGAGCCACCATGGAGAAGGCCCTTCTTCTGGGTCCCACCAAGTGTAAGCGTTCCCAATCATGGCTGCCTCTTTAGAACAGGAGTGGGGCACTCTGGCCCTTTCATGACTTGTGGACTTTAACTCCCAGAATTCCTGAGCCAGCCAGGAATTCTGGGAGTTGAAGTCCACAAGTCATAAAAGGGGCATAATTCCCCACTTCTGCTTTAGAACAAACCCCACAGCTTTCACTAACAGGGATGCATTTGCGCACTTCTGTGCCGTAGCTAGATACTCCCATGTCCCAGATTTCTCCTGAAAGTGCAGGATGGAGCCACAAGCTGAGGTGAACCAGGATGATGCCAGGGAATTGGGAAGGCATGGGCGCATTACACGCTCCTCAACTAACAGACGCAATTAGGACTCAATTTTCCATTGCTAAGCAAAGCGAATCTCACCCAATTTTGCTAGCCATTTTTTGCGTGGTTGTTTAGCACGGAGGTCCCCAGTACTGTGGACCAGTACTGGGTCTTGAGCCATTCAGAACTGGGCCGCGGAAGTGGTGGCCGAGCATGTGCATGCGTCTCCACTTGCATGAGCAGTGCACAAGCACACGTGTGCAGGCTCCATTTGCACGCGTGGATTGTGGCAAGTGTGCATGCCTGCCGCTCACTCAAATGGAGCTGCCTGTGCGCTTGCCCCGCCACTCCTGGGGACCCATCCATTCTCTGCCCCTGTTCCCCACCGCTCCGGTCCACAAAGCTGGAAAGGTTGAAGAACTCTGGCTTAGCATATCAGTTTTTAAGTGACTCACATCAGTGGTGGGATTCAATTTTTTTTTACTACCAGTTTCGGTGCGCGTGGCTTGGTGGACATGGTGTGGCTTGGTGGGCGTGGCAGGGGAAGGATACTGCAAAAACCCCATTCCCACCCCACTAACCTGCTTTCCAGCTCTGTTCTCCTGTGCAGGGCAACATAAGAAGACCCAGCCCATCAGCTGGGACTCAGTGGGAGGCGGAGAAGAGATGGGGGCGGGGCCAGTCAGAGCCGGCATTTGCCGGTTCTCCGAACTACTCAAAATTTCCGCTACCGGTTCTCCAGAACTGGTCAGAACCGGCTGAATAACCACTTCTGACTCACATGTTATTAAGCGAATCTGGCTTTGACTCACTCCTCCCTACAACTTGTGGTCTTCCGAAGAACTTTTCCAATTCTGATCTCCTCTCAGAATAAAATATATATTTATACTTCTTTTAAGAAGGGAAAACAGTTTATTTATTTTGGCCAGCTGCGGTTTTAGGAAACTTACGTTAATAAAACTGGGGACAATTTTTCGGAAAGAATAAATAGCCTTCGCCTTCTCGTTAAATCTTTCCCACTCATAACGTTTCTCCAAAAAAAACGCCACATTTATTTTGTGACTGATAAAACTGCTGTGGTTTAGGAGGAATAAATCTCCCATTGTGGTTAGGGAAAGGAGAAGGAGAAATAGACCAGCCTACAAAAATTAAGGGTTGTCATTCTCAGTCAGCTTGAATACAAAAGTTTTAAGATGGATTTCAATGTCTCCCACCCAATTTCATGTAGATTCTGTTTCATGTAGATTCTAAATTGCACTCTTCTGCTAAAGCGGAGAAGGCCTTTAGTTTATCTGTAGCATATCAATTAGCCCTTTTGGGGACTCCTTTTTCTAAAACAAGCACAGTTTCCAAAATTCTGCATGCAAATAAGAAGTAACACAGTCCACATGCATCTGTAATAGATGCGACGTGCCTGGAATGGAAGTGGGGAAAAAAACCAAGCCAGCAATCTCAGACATTCATACAGTTTCATGACTGTCTTTATTACAAGCGTCTGGAATGTAAACAGTTTGGGGAGCAGAGTCCAGAAGATGAAAAGAGCTCTCTTTGCCCAATAAAAAGGCAGGTTGGGTAGGATAATATGTTGGGGCAGTGTTGGCTGGGGGAATTCTGGGAGTTGAAATCCACATGTTTTAAAGTGGCCAAGGTTGAAAAGCAGTCTGTTAGGGAGTGGTGGATTTAACCCAGGACGGTTTGAAGTAGCTTTGCCTGTTTTCTTGTGAACTCCCTGCCACAAGGAAGAACCAAGAACAGGGATCAACCTGTCGGTCCCAAGACTTGGCCAGGGTCTCCCTTGCATCAACTACAACTCAGCAGGCTGTCTGACCTACAGTTGTGCTCAACTGGGACCCAAAACGATCAGAACTGGAGTTCAGGTGGATCGTTCCTTAGCTTTGTGAAAAAGTTGAGTACCAGACGTTGTAAGAAATATCTCAGCTTTCTCCAGAGCTGGATAAAAAAGACAAGATGGCTCAGGGCTTCTATCACAGAATAGAATAGAATAGAATAGAATAGAATAGAATAGAATAGAATAGAATAGAATAGAATA